TACTTTAAACAGCATAATATTTTGCATATTGGTCATAATATTTTTATGATTTTTCTAGTACTTACGAGACTTTTCTGGCAATAAATTTTGTTTAACACCAAAGAAGCCTTTTTTTCTTCTTTAACATTAACAACCGCTTATTGCAAATAAGTAAATTAAGGACGGCATGGCGAATCGATTTTGACATTAACTGTAAAACCAATGACTGTGATAGTAAAATTCGACCAAATTAAATATAAGGTATAAAATTAATTTTTTTATAGAATTTTTGCAAAATAGTTCAAATAGCATAAAGAACTCATGTCATAAGACCTTTTGTCGCACTCGTCCATTACATAAATATAAATTGTCCGCGTGCGACAAAATGACGTCTTATGACATTAGTTCCCAGCAAGCACAAACATCCTCAGGACGCCCTTGGACCAGCCTAAATGTCCCAGAATGGGATGATCCTATAAGGACTTCCTGAGGACGTCTATAGGTTGACCTTATCGGACATTAGATCTTTTTTAGGTCCCATTTTGGGATATCCTAGGAACGTCATTTAAGGATGTCGCTAGGACCTAATAATATCCTAATTAAAGCCTAAAATGGGCTGATCATAGGACTAATCCCAGAGACATCCTCAGAATGTCCCGTTAGGTTTTGCGCAATACCAATACCATGGTAAACATTTGGTATGCACATTTTTCTATAAGAATATTTTATCCATATAATTAATAATACCTACATTTTTTTACATAATTTTGCATCGGCACATCTCAAAAATGTCAGTCAATATAATTATAATATTATATTATATAGATTTTTTTAAGTTTATAAACGACTTGCATACTATATTTTATCTACGACAATCACAAAAATTAAATAACTTTCAACAATTATATATAAATAATTATTTATAAAATCTGACATCGACCAGTCTATTCTAACCTCACTTTTTAGACCCTTTATTTTGATGGTCATTGTTTCGCAGTTGACAACTGCAATTAACTTCAACCCATGACTAAAATGTCCGAATGCCATTTCTGCCAACTTCAGCCCGTGACTAAAACGCCATAAAGCCACAACTTGTCAATGTGTATTTAAAATATCATGGAAACATGTACGATAATCGGCGTTTTAAAGGCGGGAGTTTAAAAACAATATTATATTTTGTGTATTTGTTATATGACCACAAAATATATTTTGTATACAACTGGATAGCAGCCAACTTAATACGCATGCGCAGAAATGACGGCTGGTAATTAATAATTGTTCAAACACCTTGTTTGTTTGTTTGTTTTATAAATAATAAATAAGGTAGTAAGCGTCAGTTAACCTTAAAAATGTAATTACAAACGCAATCTATAACTTATTTAATAGTTTGAGTTACCGATTGCTTTAAATTTGCCGCCATACGTTATGGTGTTAACCATTGTCTATGGTGGTAACACTGGATGGAGAGAAAGCTAAGATGGCGTATAGCACAATCCACACAAAGTTGTGTGGATTGTGGCGTATAGCGTCCTTTAGTTGTTTGGCGCCTTTTTGTTAGAAAGAATCATAGATAACACTGTGAAAGGAATTCTTTGTCTGTGCCGTGAATTCTTTTTCTGTGTCGTGAACCTGGTTTAAGGCCGTGAATCTCGTGTTCTCCAAGTGTGTTTGTTACAATATAATATTATTATAGTGTTCTCTTCGAAATAAACCTTAAATACTAATTTGCTTGAAGATTGAAGTGAACAACAATCATAAAATTCTGGTGAGTTATAATAAGCAAACAAAAAAAAATGCCACTAATTTGCTAATTTAACCGACTTTGTAGCTGCAATAATAATGAAGTTAAAATGGTGAGCAGATAACTTTGAACACTGTGTATATATAAATAATATAACTATTATATTTATTTAGAAATATTATTTATTTTACTTTTATAATAGGTATTTATTTTTTATTTTATATAATTGGCTGTGTAAAATTATATATATGTATACAGAATTAAAATAATATATTTTATAAAGTAATAAAATGGTATTTCATTGTTTAAAATGTATCCCCAACAAATAACAAGGCCATTCAGAGGATGTCCTCAGGACATCCAATTCCTGGACCTACATATACCCATGGGACTTTCAGGGGACATCCTTAGGATGTCCTATTCCTGGACCTATATGAACCTAGGGATATCCCTAGGATATCCTAAAGGCCATTTGCGGGACGTCTGTAGGCTGGCCTTTTTTGCACCACTCGGCCATGGTTGGGATGTCCTGAGGAGGTCTGAGGACGTCCTAGGATATCCTTGGGATATCCCAATATCCTGTAAGGCTTTCCTTAGGACGTCCTTAGGACAGACTTGTGCTAGCTGGGTTCTTTAATATTCTATTATTTAATACTCGCAATCACAATGTTATTAAAGATTTAACTATGGTTTCGCGTAAAAATCGAACAAATTTTGGACATTTGTTTGCAAGTGATGTCAGAATTGAATATATTTTTTTTACCTTGTTTCTACATCTAAATGGTGCATTTTTTTCAATAAAAAAATTTCATCCATTGACCGCTGTGGTTAACAGGCCTTAAGTTACCCTACTGTGTTAAAAATAGATAAATTTCGATATTTTGTAATATCATTTTTATTTAAAAACGTATCGATTTGAAATTAAGATAAAATGTAGACCTAATTAATGACAATAAATCCACGTATTATTTTTTTTAGATTTTAACATACAGGGGGCGCTGGGGACAATTTAATTTAAAATTTTACCATTTTTTAAGGGTTAAAAAATCGAAGAAGCAACGTTGTTTTATAATTTTGAGTATATCACGGTAAAGTACTGATAATTAACTATTATTTGATATATAAACTTCTATATGCAAATTATGTTTCTACGAGAGACGTCATTTTTAAGTTAGGCCTTCAAAGAGCATAATACTAACGTGTTTTACAAAGTATATTTTGTTTTATCTAGTTTTATAATATAATGTTTTATATATTACATATTATACATTATATATTACATATAATATATTATATATAACATACAATTCTTACATATTTATTTAAAAAATCACCATAGATGGAGCTAAAATTACTTTTATTTATAAATTTAAATTTTTTTCCAAGTTTACTAATTTTGATTATAGTAGGCATCATAGACTTTTTTTCTCTATGGTAACCTACCATTGGAAGCATGAAAGATAATATGACAGTTCAGTTTATAAAATGAATAAACTAAATAATATTTATAGACAGCGTTAGCCAGTTAGAAATTATAACCTACTTTAATTTTATTTTTTGCTACACAACCAAGCTTCAATTTAATTTTTACTTAATAAGCAAGCTTTAATTTTAATTCCAAACTGAGGAAAGTAATATTTACCCAATAAATAAATTAGAATAAAGACTTTATTTTTTATGTTGCGATCGGCTATTTAGATATATGTATTTTTAATCAGTTGTTTTTCGCTTTTTTGTAATTAGTTATTTTGCAATTTTATATTTAATATAATGCTATACAGGGTGTTTCGCAAACTATATGGATTTAAAATTTTAATAGCCTATACAATTTGATTTAGACTATACCTAAAGTCAATAGTTTTCAAGATATTATTTTTTTTGTTAAAATTTTGCTAAATACAAGTTAATCCAAAATAACCTCTAATTTTTTGTTATTAGTTTTGCTGACATTTGGTTGGAATTTTTGAAATTTGAATTTTGAATTTTTTAAATAATTTAATTTTTTAAAGGTTTTTCAACAAATATATTGAGAAAAACCACTTAAAATTAGGCAAACTTCAAACAATAATTACGTTTTAATTATAAATGTAAAACCCTGTATGTTTTAACATAATCAAATAGAAACTTTAAGAACTTTTCGATTGGTATTCTAATAATTGCTTCCTATAACTTTATAAAGTTAAAATTTCAGAGACATTTAACAATTTCTAATATTTTCAATATTATTTTCTATTCTACAAGTTGGTTAATGTGACAGTATCCATGGTTACCACTTAATCTGTTATTGTTTAAAATTAATTAAAATATTTGATTGAAAAATTAATTAACTAGAAAAATATTGACTTTAGGTATAGGATAAGGTATATAGCCATTTTATTAATAATTTTATGTATACATTCTATAGAATTAAAAAATGTAAAAATATATAAGGTGTCCTGTTTAAAATAAAAAGACAATTCCGGTAAAACGAGAAGTATTATTTTGTTTAATTTAAGAAAAAAATCTAAATCAAATAATTTACGCTATTAAAATTATTTTAAATCGATGACTTTCCCGATTCCCTATAGAAACTTCTAACGGACTACGTACGTGACACCCTGTATATTAAACGTCATTTATGTGTTATGCTTTACTTAATTAATAATAAAAGATACAACAATATTTGTATAAAAATGACAATATGTACTAAACTAAACATTTATGAATACTGCTACTGCTAATTCAAAATTGATCCTGGCCACATAAACATCATTTGCATAAAAAAGTTAATATATCAAATAAAAGTCAAATATCAATACTTCAACGTGATATACTCAAATTTATAAAACAAAGTTGCTTCTTCGAATATTTACCCTTTAAAAATTGTTAAATTTTAAATTAAATTCTTACCAGCGCCCCCTGTACGTTAAAATCTAAACAACATTTTTTCATGAATTAATTGTCATTAGTAAGATCTGCATTTTGTTCAAATTTCAAATCGATACGATTTAAAATAAAAAAGTTATCAAAAAAAAAGAAATTTCTTCATTTTTAACACAGTGAAGAAAAAAATAAAAATAAAAATAAAGTTGTCGATGGACAAGATTTTTTTTTGAAAAAAGTACTGCATTTAGATGTAGAAATAAGGTAGAAAAGTTTTAATCGATTTCTTGAACCCTTGCAAATCGACCGTTCGATCCTTTCGCGAAACCGTAGTTAAGATGCATAAAAAATATAACATAACCACAATTATATTTTTTACTGCAGAGTTCATATTAAACTATTTTTTTTTCTACATTACCTTTTTTAGCACGTTTCCTTCTACATTTCCTTCTAGGCTTCTGATTGGAGACGGGCTTTCCCGTCGTAAATTCCACAATTTTCATCATGCAGCACAATATAACCACTAGCATGTCTTTATTTTACTTAATTTTACACATATCAACAAAAAGTCAAAATACACTGATGAACACAGTCAAAAAATCGTCATTTTCTCTCTTAGATAAGTAAGTCACTTGTAAAGTTTGTTTTTGTCTTGATGCACTTACTAAATACATACAAAGATAGAGGAGTGTTTTATCACTTTGTGGGCTTGCGATTATAATGTCATAAGCGACGGGAAGTGACGCAATGTATGTAGGGAAGAATAAATGTTTTAATTGAACCAAGTATCCCATTGAATATTGTCTCTGATCAGACTGCCGTCTCGCTGAGTAACTTTGTTTATATGCATGTGTAACTTATTCTTTGTTTCTGAACCACCAATAGGATGGGGGTGTTAAGTGTGCTTAAGTAGGGGGCTAGATTTGACGTTTATTTTTGTTTTTCTTTGTTTTACAAGGCAAACGTGATGTGCCTATTTAGGGGTTCTTTGTTTAATGTTTCTATTTTTATCAAATAATTATTATACCTACTACAAATTATTTTAACGATCGGCTGAAGGACTACGGTCAATAGCCTTTGAACTTGGTTTTTTTTTTATTTTAACGATATCTTTTTTGTTTTTACACTTAAATTGCTCTCTTACAACTTCGAATAAAAATCTATTACAAAAAAACAATGGACGATATAAAAAAATAAAATACTTTCAATAGACGACTGCTTAAATAAAAAATTTAAAAATCTTAAAGAAATTTTAAAATTAAAAATTTTTTACAGATTAAGTTTACCCATGTGTTTTATAGAACTGTCATATATGATAGTAGGTATATCAAAATCAATTAAATTGTATGATTAAATTAAACACCCGGTATTTTTAATTTAAGATGGGGGTGGCGTTAGTTGTTTGTCTTTTGTTAGGCCAATTCTAAGATGGTTAAAAATAGTAAAAATTGTGAAGATGGTTCATATTTTTAGATCATTTTGGTGTGGTACTAAGAAAATATACGCTTTAAAAAGATTAAGCATGATTATACAGGGTGTTTTACATTCGTGTAGCATTAGAAGTTTCTGGAGAACGGAAAAAGATATTTTAAAAACGTTCATAATCCATTTAAGTCTATTTTTTTTTAATATTTTGAACTAAATTTCGGTTTAACCGGGTCAATCATAAATAGCCCATAACTTTTTTGCTATTAGGTTTGCAGATATGGCGGTGGGATAACCAAAACTACCGTAAATTAAATTAAGGTGAAAAAAACTACTTCAAAGGAAAATGCTTCTTATCGGCCATTTTTTACTGTACAGTACCACGTGGTAATGTAAATAATAAATTATTTTAATTGTTTGTAAATGGTTGTTTACTTTTTAATAAATAGTAATTTTGTTGGTAATAGACGGTATTAATAATTAAATAAAAAATTAATAATACATATTAAGATTTTTTTATTTATAAACATTATTAAATAAATAATTTGTTTATACTTAAATATTGATGAAGCGCATTTATTTTACAAAAACTAAATTCATTCAAGTTCAACAGTAAAATTTAAAGGGTTTATAAATTTACCTGCCTAATTTAACATTATATCGTTATTCTGGAAGTTATAAACTACCAGTACATATTTAATAAACGACGACATTGAAAAACCAAGTCCGTAGTGGTTCCATTTAAAAAAGGAGGGATAGTATAATCCAATATAAGTTTGACAAAGACAGTTAATATAGAAGTAAAAACAAATAAATAAAAGTAATTATAACGCTCTAGCAACGATATTGGAACGTTCTAGTAACGTAGCAGCTACGTTCCAAATAGTAGCAGGGTTTATAGCTAGTGACATATTTGTTACCTTTTTGGAACTCAATAATTGTTCCCCACTTTAGTCGTAACTTAGTAATGAAAGAGTAATATAAAGAGACCGGCGACTGTCGTAAAACACTTTAAAGTTTCAATAGTCCCATATACGTAACAAATACTTAAATTGTTGCTTGGGGCGGTATATTTTTACATAATCAAATAGTAAATTAAAAAACCATTCGATTAATATTACTATTCCCTATACCTAAAGTTAATAATTTTAGAGATATTTAACAATTTCTAAAATTTAAAATATTATTTTGTAACAAGAAGGTGAGTTGACGGTATCTATGGTTACCACGTAATCTGTCATTGTTCAAAATTTTATGGCGTCAATTTTTTGGTTGTTATAAATATTTAAAATAAAAAGTTATTAACGTTTCAAGTTAGCCTAATTTGCTTTGTGTTTTCTCAGGTAATTTGTTAAAGAATGCATGTTAAAGAATTGACATGGAATTTTTTAAACAATATTTTAGGCTATTTATGATTAAAGCGCATTTGTCAAATTTTAACGAAAAAAACTATTCACTTTTTGTATTTTATACATAATTTAAAAATGAAAATAAATGGGGTGTTCTATTTAAAATTTTGTCCAAAATTACAAACACTTTTAAAATTTCATCGATATCTTTTTCGTTTCCCAAACACCCTGTATAAAAAATAAGCTATTTTTTGTTCACAGTTTTTTATAATTTAAATTAAAAAGAGACTTGGAATAAAAATTCAGACAGATGCCAACAATCATACAAAAAATTATAATAAAAAGCATACAAGTAACACAAATTTCATAATACATCTTAGTTCTTATCGCCCTGTATAATTAATTAACAAAACTTTGTTTACGTAATTTTCAAGAGTGAAATAGTAAATATAGACACATGCGCCATGTTTATTTCTTCAGAAAATGACCCTTTTTTTAATTAATAAAAAAATACAATAATTAGTTGCATATATCTACAGTAGATGTTAATATAATTTTATTGCGATAATTTCTGAAATATGGAGAATTTTAATTTGTTTGTGTTAATTTTATCATTACAATAAGTTAGTCATACCCCAAGTATGTGTGTGGTAGAATTATTTATAAATAAATTTATTTTATTGTTACAACGCAATCAAAAATATATATTTAAATTTTTTGAAAAATCTTGTTATTATTTTGAATCGCAAGCCTACAAAATGGCGCCCAACGACGCTCCAAACACGCGTATTCTATTAATAAAATACCTGTGCATCCAAAAATCAAAAATCACCTCTAAACTATACTACAAAGCCGAAACAACGCATCAAAAACTTTTTATCGCGAAAAATTGCACTTTTTTCATAAATCATCGGTATGGCGCTTAGGTACGACTTATGAGCAACTACAACTTAAATGATCTCTGCGCACGTCACCACACTCTCAATAATAATAAATCTTCGAGTTGCGACGTACGTTCGCCCTGAAATGCGCTTAAATCGCGCTGAAAGTGACTCAGAACGTACGTCTGAGATTCTCCGTTTTAATTAAAATAGACCGATATGATTTCTTAAAATAATTAGGGACGCATACACATGTGTGTGGTTACAATCTCCAGCGTGTAGGCAACGTTTTTGTTTTGTTTTCAACCTGCCATCATCTGCGCCTGCTGTGATTATTTTTGGATCGGGTAATTTAATATTTTTGGTTCGATGCGAGGTTTTCTGGAATTAGATGTTTTTCACTTTCGTAAATTTAGATTGGTTTTAGTAAAAAGAGCATTCGGGTGTAATAAAAATGAAGCTTTGTATGAGTTTGGAATGAGTAAATAAAATGTGAAAATGTGAAAATCAACAAAAAATTTAATTTTAAAAGAATAACAATTTGATTAAAATTAAAATTTTGCAAAATTTTAGTTATTACTAAAATTTCCAATCACTAACCTATGTTCATTTCAAATATTGATTGCATAACATAAACCAAATTAAATGGTAGGTACAACTTACTAAAAAAGGTTTCTTTTAATTAAATAACTAAACAAATTTTCAGCATTCAAATTTCAAATTTCAAAATTTTTAAATTTCGCGGGTTCGGAGGGTCCGGTTGTCATAAAATTTTCTTTATTATGTTGGTATACATGCCCCCGAAGTATGATAAAAACTTTAGCTGTTTTCATTGTTTACTTTGTCTGTGGCAGCCGCTAAGGTTAGACGTGTTTTATGAGCTCGGCGATTTTTCGTTCGTTAAAAGAAATGGATCAAATAATTTGTATCCAATTTTGCTTAAAAACTTAAATAAATTCTGTGAAACGTTAAAAAAGGCCTATAGAGAGTCTGCTATAAGTAAAACAAGAGTTTACAAGTGGTATAAGAGTTTCCAAGATGGCCGTGAAGACGTTGAAGATGACGAACGCCCCGAACGCCCAAGCACATTAACAACCGATAAAACATGGAAAAAGTGGAAGAAATGGTTATAAACCATCAGAGAAGTCGCTGATGATGTTGGTATATCGATTGGTTCATCCCATGAAATTTTTTCGAATGTTTTGGGTATGAAACGCGTGGCAGCAAAATTTGTTCTAAAATTGTTAAATTTTGAACAAAATTTTTGGCCAAAAACAACACTGTAATGATGCCCCAGCCTCCATATTCGCCAGACATGCCTCTGTCTGACTTTTTCCTATTCCCAAAAATAAAGAGATCCTTAAAGGGCCGTCGTTTTACAAGCATAGATGACATTAAAAGCGCATCGCTGAAAGAACTAAAGGCTATCCCAAAGATCGAGTTTTAGAAGTGTTTTGAGTATTGGAAGAAGAGCTTGCAAATGTGCATAATATCCAATGAGGACTATTTTGAAGGCGACAACATTAATGTAGACGAATAAATAAATATTTGTTCAAAAAACTAAAATTCCCGATATTTTCTGAACACACCTCGTACGTATAAGTGAGAAAAACGGTGTTCGAAGAAAGATATAAATTTAAAGAAATTAAAATTTTTAAAAATCTGCTATTTTTGTTTTTGTAATATTGTTAACAAAACACCTAATTAGTCAAAAAATTATTTATAACAACCTAAAAATTGACGCCATAGTTTGTTGTGTAGAAAAACCGGTACAATGTTCAAAGAATCATCTATAGGTAATTAAAAAAAAATGGAAAATTATTTTTTTTTTTAATTTTGTAAATTTGTCCGACCCTATTTTAAATTTATGCCACTGTGCAAACTTATCCTACCATTTTTAAATTTATCCCACTGTGCGAATTTGTCCTACCACTTTTTAAATTTAACACACTGTGCGATTTTGTCCTACCATTTTTTAAATTTATGCCACTGCAGAAATTTTTAAATTTATAATACTTGCGAATGTTTCACACTATTTTTTTAATTTTTAACTCTTATGCGGATGTGTCCTACCTTTTTTAAATTTATGCATGTAAGGGCCCAGCAAACACAACCGTAAAGGTTCTGTAATGGCCCTTTAAACGCGTGCCTTTAATAAACTAAAGGCCCTATAAAGGCTGACTTTAATGGACCTCTACATATTATGTCGCGTTCACCTTTTATGGGCATGTGACGGCAGTCGATAAAGACACTTACAAGAACCGGTAAAGGTTCCGATATGGCAGGTTAAAGGTACAAATGTGGCAAGCTAAAGGTTCTTATATGGGGTGTTAAAGATTCTATAGTGGTTAGTTAAATATTATTTAATGGATAAGTAAAGTACCTATTATGTCGGATTAAATGTGGTACCTATATATTTACTAGGTACGGATATTCCATGATAATTGAAATATTTTATCCCGACCGATTTTTGACGGTAGGGATAAAAATTCCCGATTATCGTGTAATATCCGACCTAATAAATATATACCTACCAAATTTAATCCACCATAATAGATAGGTACTTTATTATATTACAAAAATTTCGTTATTATGTAATTCCATTAATACCCCTAAAACTTTCAAAAAATTAAAAAATACAAAGTTTTTAATGTGTTATAAAATACATGTAATTTAAACATAATTATAACATAACATACTTATTTAAATAAAAAAAAAACTTTACAAATATTTAAATAAAAAAAAAACTTAACAAATATTATAAAATAAAATCAAATTTCAACAGTTTCCATTTCTAAGGAATCGAATGAACTAAATTAAACACCAAAACAAATTAAGTAGATAAATCCAGTCTCTAGTCCAGTCTTTAGCACAATGGATATATGGCTAAATCACATGCATAAGAGATCTCTATTATATTGCTAAATCATTGACGACTGCAGTGCACTGTAGGAATGGTCTTATAATGGGATTCTAATTTGCAAGTTTTTCTAGAAAAAAGCTTCGTTTTGAATAGAGATAATTAAATAGGGTTAAATATTCAAAACATGGTGCGCTAAAAGAAGATTTAAAATTTTAAAATAGGTCACATGAAATAGCTATTTCCTAGGTTATTAAATAGTACGACATTAATGTAAAAATTGTCCAGTAAAAATACTTACTTGAAAAAGGTACTACCTAGTTGTTTAGTTCATTAATAATTAATTATAAAATACACCTATTAGATAATTAATTAATATATCTCAAAACCTATATTATTTTTCTATATGCATATGCATAATACCACTAACATGAGGCAATTCATTAGTAAATATGGTGTAAAGCAAAGGAAAACATTTGGCACTGTAATGGTCCCAGCAAACAATACTGTTACCTAAACCTGATAGTAACGTTGCTCATAGATTGTAAAACGTTGAAAATGTAGCTTAATTATATGCCCTAATTTGAAATACAAATGTAAGTTACATCAGTGTTTGAAAATAAAGTTAAAATTTTTAAGTCACATATACCTGTAATTTAAGTTACATTTTAAGGAAGTTTTTTTATTAAATAAATCCTTTTAATTTAACTTGTAGTTAAGTCCTTTCTGTAATGTGTCTGTAACTTTGATCTAGGAAAGTTACATGGAAGTTATCTAACATGAGGCAATTCATTAGTAAATATGGTGTAAAGCAAAGGAAAACATTTGGCACTGTAATGGTACGTGTGTTACAGTTCCATTAACTTAATACTTATAATTGCCATATGTGGGCCTTTAATGTTAAATTATACATATCATTGCCTGAAAAGGGCCATTGCAAGACCTTACCACGACAGCCTTTGGTCTAAATTGACATTTATTAACGAAAAAATCCTGTAGAGGCCCAGTACAAGAACAGCTTGGGTTAAAAATGCCATCATTTAACCATTAAACGCTGTAATGGGCCATTACATTACCAGACTTATGTGTTTGCTGGGGGAGTTTTCAATTATCCAATTTAGTACGAATTCGTACAGTTTTCAATTACCCGGTTTTAAATAAATCAAATTTAAAGGCATTATAACCGCCCTACGGGAATAATGAACTCGTTAATCACGTTGTTAGGCATCAGTGATTGGCCGATTTCATTATTAACTGAGATTTGGACCAATATGGTGGTTGCAATTCCAAAAACATCACAGTCGCCCCTGGTATACTAAATAAAATCTGACATATGTCAAATCATCTAACCTTACTTTTTAATTTCTCTTTTATTTTTTTTTCTTAAAAATTATGCAATAGAAGTAGTAAAAGCATAGTATTAAACACTTGAGATAATCCGCATTATTACCTCGGATAATTTACATCTCTCGCTTTGCGGCTGAAGATGTAAACCTCATTCTCGTAAATAATACTCTGCATTATCTCTCGTATAATACACTGCGCGTCAAAATTAACGCATAATAAGTAAAAAAATTCTAAAACGCCTTTACCAATCTTTATTAAATTTTGTATAAAAATACTTCAACTTATATCTGAGTCAAACCACGTCAAGTGGGACCAGAAAATTTCACGAAATCACCGATTTTGAAAATAATCACATTATTGTGTAGTAGGCATGACTCATATGTCACAGTAAAAAAATTGTTTTAAAATTCGTTTTTTTGGTAATGTTATTAAGGTTGACAATTTTGTCAAACTTTAGAGCACGGTAAAATTGAAAAAATAGAATCTCTGGAACCACTATGTATAATTGAATTAAATTTTACACACTATTGTAGAAATGTTTAGACTATATAATGATCATTTAATTAAGGTTAATTTGTTTAAATAAAATAATTTTGCATACATTTATTATAAACAATTGAAATTTTGTATGTGTTCTTCACGCTGAAAAAAAATTAATCTGGTGTCATAATATGCGGCAAACGTTTCCGTTTAATAAGATGTACTCAAAAATTTGTCTTTTCTATGTCATTCCGGAGATATTAAATTTTTTGTCCCGCTGTGCGCTTGATCAGTACGCGGCGCGCTTCGCTGCTAGCTCGTCAGGACACGGTGTGCCTGAA